CACTAATGCTCTTTTGGCTGATTTGGAATAAATCCCTGTGTCTTTGCCAGAAGAGTGAAGGATGAAACAGCAGTGTACTAAACACACATGGTGTTAGATTAAGACAACAACTACATAATGGTGTGTTAGAAGCCCCAGTTTGACTCCTGCCCATGTCATTTCCCATCATTTTTTTCCTAATTTCCAGTTATATTGTTAATGTTGACTTGGAAATAAAGCCGTAACAAAAACGTACTGCAAGTTGTAAAACTTGTCATCTGCCTGTTGAGAAACAAATATCTAGATTTGTTACCTTGCCGTCATGAATTTATATTTAAAAGTCACAGTTTATACTTTACATTTGATTATCATGGAGGTAACAAATGGGTGACAGCTTAATGACTTTATTGGCTGTCTGAGCCTTCAGATCAAATACTTTGTTGTTGGCTGGAACATTTACTAATTAAACCAACAGGTTGAGCCACACCTCCGTGTCAATCGAAGGAGACACCTTTACGGATCAGCTTGGTTCAACAAAGTGAAAACTCCCACACACATGATACAGTGTAATGTCAGGGCAAGTGTTTATCCAACCGAGGATTTTGGCAGGTTGAGTATTGTTAGGATTAATGTGTAAAAGAGATTGGCACATACCGGCAACTTTAGCCCTCATAGAGAAACACGTTTTATAATCAAAAGCATTAAAATAATCCACCATGAATGCAAAGTCAAAAATTAACTGAGCTCTTTGTCAACAGAAATTAAAGCGTTAGATATATTTACCTCTGGGAAATGGTTTAAAGTGATATCAGACAAATATTTAGGTAATTTATTCATGAAACAATACAGATTCTGTCTTTGGAAGAATACAAGTAGTCTCAACTTTCCTTTTGGCATCACGTTTGTACAGAATTTCAGTGTTGGCACAGGCCACTAAACTGAAGCATATCTACATTTTGTCAATAAGGTAAATTAGGTCTTCTGTGCTCAAATTACAAACGGTAATCCTGTTGCAGTCAGACATAACAAAAACATTCCCACGTCAGAAACAGACACCTGAAATAACCGCTGGATTGAACCAGTTTCAGTGTTATTTTATTGCTTTATTCTCCTCCTCTAATGGAAGTAACCTATTTTACTGCCCTGTTTGATCTGCCCTTAACTGAACCCACACACTGTAGAACAAGTTGTTGTAATACTTTAATACTCACCATCTTTTAACATCTTCACTGTACACCTCCTTTGCGCCTTGCTCTCCACACACACAGTTAGCCTCTAGTATATGTCAGAGACATCTTAGGGCTCTGGGTTTCCAAGAGCATGCTCCAGATGCATCAGAGCATGAAGATGTCAGGAAAAGAATAATGGAAGACAAGGCAGCTTAGCCTGCTACAACCTGAAATGTGTACATGTTTCTGTTTTACTCACTTTCCTTTCAAGACTGTAAGCCAGAATGACAGATATTTCCTTCTCAGCAGATTTTAAACCATTGGCTCTTGACTCATATGTCAGTCATTCTTGCTAGTATCTGCAGTAGCAGGACTGATTGATACACCTCAGTGGAGGGCTGTTGAAGGCAGAGCATGCACTTTAACATGCGCAGGGTTAGATACTGAACACATGCTAACAAACATAAATCATAAGGAATCATAATCAAACTTTAATATCTTACCATCCAAACTATCTGTCATTCAGGATAGGATCTCTGAGCAGTAGCCAATGAACACTGATGGTAAAGGAGAGAATGACTGGCTGGCATCCAGGTCACTGAACCTGCTCCAACCTGAAAACTAGCTTACAGTTAATAAGAGAAGATTGTGACTTCTTAGTTAAGCTACAAGCAAAGGTGTCGTTCCAGAAATCTGTCTGATACTTGGTCCAAAATGAAATATCTCAACCACGATAACCAACAAATCCAAACACAGAAGCTTGCAGCTAAACTAGTAGTATAGGTGGAGCTCCATGCAGCGCTGCTAGCTTTGTCATCATTTCGTAATATAAACGTACAGTAGGTTGTGAACGCAACAGCGTGAACCAGCCCCAGACATACTACGATACGAACCGGAAGACAGTCTGAAAAGTGTTAAAGCTGTATCAACAGGGATGGATTCACTTGCTGTACTATAAACAGCAATACAAGCAAAATATGATTTTGGTGTCTGTTATACATTTTACTTACTTTATAAATGTAGCACGACCATGACCAATTTGATTAAGTAAAACGTCTCATCAACTTCGCCATAAAAACAAATTGTTGGCCTACACATTCATATTCAAGCCTCAAGGGTGTGTTTTTACCTGTCGACCAATTACTCTCTAATAGTGTAATAGTGGAGTTTAGATGATAATTCTTAGTCCAATTTTATCAGAAAATCAAAGCTAATGACAAAACCATTAACATACGCTGAGACTTACTTTGTGTTTTGTTCTAATTAGCAGATGTTGCTGAACTAAGGGTGAACATGGTAACCGTTATAGTGCTAAAGATTAACATGTTAGGCTTGTTTGCATGCTCGTGTTAGCATTTCTCTCAAAGAACAACTGCGCCCCACTGACTTCTATTGATTTTTTAAGTATATTTTAGCTCATTGTTTTTTGGCTTGCAAGTTTATTGGTTTGGTTCTTTCTCGGCTCTCATTAGAAACGTTTAGAGACGGTTATTGCCTGCAGCTATTTTCAGCGAATTCGCTTTAAAACTCACTTTACACTACCTGCCAGGCACCAAACAGCAGACAGAGTTAGAGACTAGCTGGTGAACAAAGCTAAAAAAGCTTAAGGGCCAGACCTTTGCCTTTGAAGTTGGTGGAGACCAAAAGTAGAGCTAAAAGCAGATTGAATATTGACTTACATTTACCAGGTGGACATTAACATGACTCCAAATGAATGATACTGTTTTTCTCGGCTGGATATGTGTTGTGTCTCGTCAAATTTGTTATTTATGTTTATGTGTTATGTTTGTCTTTTCATGTTATTTCACATCATGTCATATCTGTCTATTTATGTTGTTTCATCTCTAGTCAAGTCCCCGTGTTTCATGTCATGTCTCGTTTTCCATTTCCTGTTTTATTTTCTACTTACCTCTTGTCTCCCATTTCAGGTCCTGTTACTTCCTCCCTTTGTGTGTTTTCCCGCCCTCGTCAGTGTCGGCCCCGCCCCTGATTGTTTCCACCTGTTCCCAGTCACCTCATGTTTAAATGGTCCTGTCTCCCCCTGTC